TCTTTCCTTTCTTAACTCATTTTTCCTTAGAAGGGTACCTACTTACTGTGTAAAGCACCTCTTTTTCATTAAACTAACACTTAAACCCTAACCACCACAGCATGGTTTGGCGAGGTCCTCGAGGCAGAGCGGGAGCCCCTTCACTACATCACAAAGGCACTTAACCCCCCCCCCAGCCCCTCACGCTGCCTCCCACCGCGACAGCATGGCTGCTGGCATCCTCCACAACTCACCCCTCCTGCCAGGCAAGGCTGGGGACTGCTGGTCATCTGCGAGGTCCTGTTGTTGAAGAGGGGCTTACAGGGCGCCATCTTGGAGGAGAGAAGGCCTCAGCCTTATGCCACTTCCCTCTCCACAGAGAAGCCACCATGGCCGGGGCCTCTCCTCTCCACACAGCAGGCAGGATGGCGCCAGCTCCTTTGTGGGGCCTTCTGGCCCGTTTGGGGCAGGAGGAGCCCTCCACTTCTGTGAACGTCAGGAGCAGAGGGACACAGGCTCCCTGGATCCAGTCTGACCGCCGGTGCGCCAGCATGGGCTCTGTGGCCCCTCCTGGCACCTAGGGCGGGAAAAGGGGCTGTAACCTCCTTGTGGGGAGGAAAAACCTCTGGGGAAGATATAACTATCCTTGGCTTTTTTTCCCAGAAGCCCCCAAATAACAGGCTACTGGAGCTACCTGGAGGGAGATGGTGTGGGACAGCAGTGAGGGAATGGCGTGCGAAGGCGGGAGTGGGCAGGGAGCGGGCGCTGAGTGCCCCAGTCCTTGGGAGGGAATGGCCATGGGGGTGAGGACCCTGAAGGAATGGGGATGAGGGGGAGAATGGCTGCAGAACGGCCTGTCCACATTACAGACACAGCTGGGCTACGTGCCCACCGTCTGAAATAAAAGCTCATTATCCAGGGGCTATTTTTGGCCCCTGTAGAGTTCTTAATAGCTCATGTACTGCATTTTTTACTCCTGCTGCTGTGAAAAATCATATCCAATCTCAGAAAAATCCCATTTCCCTCCCATTTTGTGCAGTATCCTCTGTAATGAGGAAACATGGCCTTTAAAAGCAAAACATCAAATAAACCCAGATCTCAGTTTGCATACAGACCACACATGAATACCAAGCATGTGCAAATACATACCTAGGAATAAAGTTGCCAATCAAATGTTTTAGACCAAGTTTTCACTATCCATACATCTATCTCAGCCTTAAAAACTTTCTATTCTTCTCTTTCCCAAATCCAAGCAATTCACAGGAAGAAAGTTACATGAAAGCAACAGTTGTGTTGTCTCTTTCTGGCCCAACTTTGTGGCCTAAGGAGAGGCCAGTTTCCCCACTCTCCTCATTTTCACTAAAGGAAATAATAAAGGTAGACCCTGTTCCTGGGTCCTGCTCCACCTAAGGTCTGGGTTGGACCTTTGAATTACAGGTACTACCCACAGCCAAAAAAATATGCAGGTTTAGTCCCATGGATTTCTCACTATTCCTCATCATCTCTCATGGAGCCTCTTAATCCTTTGAAAGAAAGAGACAAACTTCCATTTTGGTCTGACAGTTTTACATCCAATGTCATAGCTGCTGACAATACCAGACAAGCGAGGAATCAAGCCTGTGGTTCTCCCTCGTCACTCTCTTACATGACAATCAAAAGACATTCCTCTTGGGTTTTTTTGAGGTTTTTACTGGGGAAGAGGGGTGTCTTTTTTTTTTTTTTCTCTGCTGGAAAACATTATCCTCTTTAAAGGACAGATAGGTTTCCTAACTCTACTTGGTCTACAGGATATGCTCCTTCAACTGTAGGTGGGTCTCCTTTGGCAAAGGCTGACGCTGGAACAAGCTGTCTAACAGTGTATGTATCATCCTGAAATTTTGGGCCTGATTCTACAAGGTGCGTTCTACCCCTGCATTCACCACATCAGACACTCAAGGGATTCAAAGGGAGTCTGGGGCACCTGACTTCTCAAAGAATCACAGTATAAGGGACTGAAGTTGAAAGATAATCGAACAGTTCTTCATAAAACTGTACAAATCTCCATATTCTCAGCTTATTCAGGAGTATAATAAATTGCTCCGTTTCACCAAAGACTGGCAAAACTTCCACTGGGGTTTGCTGGAGATAGTTAATTGATTTGAGCTATATTCTGTAAACATTTTACGTAGAAATCTATCCCATAGTCAGTTGAAGTCTATTTTATTGCTCAGCTGTATAGCTGAAATTCAAGAATGTGGTTTTTTGGAATTTTTAGGGCCCAGCTTTTATTTTTTTCAGGAAGCAATCTTTCCTTCTATGACTCATGATCATGTTGAATTGTCTAAGGTAGGAAATATCAGCTTGAAATTACTGTCATGTGCTACGGGAACCCACAGGGAGAGTGTGGAACTAGATCTTCTCCAGTAGGAAAAACAGCTGGTAAAAAATTAAGCCAACTGTGTTTCCAACTAAATCCTGGAATGCAGTGTGCAAAACAACACATGTTCACTCAGAAATCCTCAAAAGAAAAGACCATTTTGTCAAGCAGATTAGCTGCCTCAGATGAAGGACATTACAATCAAATAAGCAACTTGCCATCTAGGTACCTCTGTAGGTCTTCTTTTCCTTGGTTTCCTTATTTTCCATATTTCCAACAGTAGTTGAGAATACTCAACACCATAAAATACATGAAGCTTTAAGAGAGCATGACAGCAGGCACTGCCTCTAGACTTGAACTAAACACAGAAATTTCTCTTGAAGCTTAACAGTTTTATCCTAAGACATTCCATACTCACTCACCTCTTTTGCTTCATTAGTCTCACTTGTGACTCTTAATGTGAATGATACACAGTATGTGAAAAATTTCAACACATATATTAAACTGCATACTGTCACTCAATCTTCTGGACATACCTTCAGAGACATTCACACAACTGCCACATGGGCAAACAACAGCAAGACAGAAACTTTACCAAAGCTCTGGAAGGCAGACATACAGATTTTTTATATATATTCGCAAGAGCGATTGTTTTATCTTAAAACCTCTCTAAAGCAGGTATATACTGCAGGCTTTGGCAGTACAGATAAAATATTATGGGATCCAGCCTTACTTTGTTTTATCATCCAAATATACACATTGTTATAACAGAGGAATAGTTGCATCCAGAATTATTACTGCTGCTTGATGACCAAAATGCCTCATATACTGCTCCACACATGAAACTACTGCACATATCCGTCTCGCCAGATCAACAACAGCTTCTTTGGAGTGGAGGAAAAGAAAAGAAGCATATACATGGTTCACTTAAAATGCAGCGACAAAACCAGGATTTGAAGGCATGTGTTCAAAACAGTCCCATATTGTTATTACAGATGGAAACAGTGAAGGAAGAGAAACAGAAGAAACAAAAGCCAGCTTTTGTGAGTTCCAGACCAATCCCTTATGATCCTGGGTCTTGTATAAGATGATTTGGAAGCTTTGGAAAGGCATTCAGGGTCTCTCCCTGAATAAGGCACTGTAACACACTGTCTTCCATGAGCCTGGCCCAGTGCCATGACAGTTTCTGCGTAATTCATTGCACGTTTTGCTAAGTGTTCTCTGTATATCTATATAGATATATACACATAGACATATATGTAGTTTTCCATATGCTGTCCTGCAAAACATCAGAAAAACAAAATCAATTACAAAATGGAATTACATAATTCAGAATATGCTAAACTTAGTACCTGCTGACATGTCACACATGCCCCAAACTAAACCAGAGAAGCGTTGATTTGGAAGTTATATGTACTCTAAGTCTGTAGATATAAATTATTTCTTCTCTCACAAAGTTTTCACATAGCACAGCCAGGAGTTCTAATGTTTTGACTTTCCAAGTAGCTTCTGCCCTTTTCGAGCCCCATCATCTTTTCAGTGTATTAGCACAATTCCTAGCAAATCCTTGCGTCATTCTCCATGACAATATGTTGATTAGGGACAAAACTAAGCATTTTTTTTCAAGTCTTAAGAGTCTAGATGTCCAAAAGTAGAGAGTAGTGTCTTGAACCTCTTCATCTTTGAATCTAAAATGCTTAAGCGATGCATTAAGCAGATCTCTATTCTTCTTACGGAAAAATGCATATTCTTCAAACATTCTCCCTTCATCTTTTCTTCTGCAGTTGAAAAGAAAAGAGGTTCAACTGGAGAGGCTGAGGGACTGGCTCTATTGTTTATGGAATACTGAGATCTTAATTTCAATTACCAGTCTGGATTCAAAGTCAGCAGCAATCACAACCTGTAACGACCCAGAGGCCTTTCAGTGAATCTGGGTGAAGTGAGCAATGAACCCTCACCACAACTTAATCAGCAGCAAAAGCACAGGCTGTTGTGAGCACTGCCTATCCTGTACCAGGCATCAATCCAGCCCTGCATACCATCTCCAAAAGTGACTTGAAGTAGATATTCTCTCCATAAGAAATATGGCAAGTATAGCATTATTTTCCCATTCCGAGTGGTCAGTGATTTAAGGGCTGCTTGAGACAGAGGTTGTAATCTTACTGCCATGTTTAACAGACACCGATGGGTCTATCTTCCTTTGTCTAATTTTTTTAATCCATTTTCAGCTCACATGGTCTTCTGCATCAGTAAGTTTCACAGGTTTGTTCTCTGTTTTTCTTTTGAACTAGTTGCTTAAAAATATCATGAAATACCTTCTCATCTTTTGTTATCAGAATTAATAAATAATGACCTTCATATTCACCTGTTCTGTCTGCTGTGGCTACAAACAGAAATCCTATGAACAGTCCACTGCCTCTGATAAAACACAGATATATACTGACTCATTTTACAAAATAATGTATTTTCAACCCTTTTTGATTCTGCAGTTCCCAGTCATGTTTTAGTGGAACTCTTTGAGTCTAGGGCTCAGACATCCACTTGTTATGTTTCAATCATACTTGTGAATTGGAATTATTTACAAAAGAGTGTGAGAACTAGGTCCTTGATTTAACTAAACTACAGTTGTTACCTCTCACATGATGTGATTGTGTGAGTTCACATTTTATCTCAGTTCTTCTTCCTCATCTTCCATTTCTTCTTCTGAGTCATCCTTATTCTTTGAACTGTTGCTGAATTCAAGGTTCCCTTCAATATCCAGCACCTGTAAGTGCTTTAGGTTTTGGAAGGTACTTTCCTTCAGTGCTCCAACTGCAATCTTATTAAACCTTTAAACAAACAAAAAGGCCTTCCTGTTAAAATAAACCCATTTTTATTTCCAACACAGAAATCAGGAGACTAAGAGGAAACGATTCTGCAGAGTTACTCTAACTTACACTGACCCAAGTTACTTTAACTTTACAGTGACCCACAACAGCACTCTAGGAGTACTGACTCCTCTGGATGGAAAAAGGAAGGGAAAGCAGGTATGGATTAACAAGCAGGCAAATGCTGCGACTGAACAAAGTTTGCTGACAGCACTCTGTATCACCACAAAGGACCTTACAGGAAAATATTGGGAAACATTAAGTATCTCCCATTGATTTCAAGTTCACTGACCAGGCTTTCAAAAATCTTCTACTTTTCTCCACCCCAGCCCTTCTTCCCCCTTCTATAACTGTATTCTGCAAGGAAAAAAAACGTAATATTGGAATTCCTCCCTGTCTCAATTCTTTCTCTTGGTATTCTGTTTTCTCCTTCCCAGAGGGGAAAGGCGTCTGCTCCATAGCCCACATTTCAAAGTGTAATTTGATTTTTCTTGAGATTCTATGTCATCCCTTGACAGTTTAATTCTTCTCCCACAATACTCAAAATACTGGCACAAAGTACCCCTTTAGAAACAAAGCAACATGCAATAATTTTTCATCAGTTATTTAGGTTTCCAAGAGTATAAATAAACTAATCTGCAATTTAAGAACCTCTCACATATACTGCTTGGTCTGTTACTCTCGAACATGCTTAAAATCGTATTCTGTCTAATATTCCAGATGTATATAGTTGTTTCACAGCACTGCAGTGATTAATAGCCTCCCATTAAGAAATACAACTTAGCTTGGGTGGAGTTGCCTCCTAAATATGTTAGCAAAACAGTTTTGCAAATTCCTTTTTTCTCTTTATATAGAAATATAGAATGCGGTATGTGGTTTCTGGTTTGCATCCAAGCATTCACTAAAATCTCATAAATGTGAGCAGCTGAACAGGCAGACTGCTTTAATTTACACCAGATTTTGTAATATTATTTGCTTGGTATGGAATCATTCATCCAAAAAGGCATGCTTCAGAACTATTCAGAACTACAGAACAGTTTAGTTGCATACAGACAAAATACGGCCATATTTAGTCTTGTGCAGCAGGCAGCCTAGGCTTTTTGAACACATCCCTTGGATCAGCTTAATCAAATATTCTGCAGGCGTTCATAAATTACTTTCAAGCAGTATTTTCAGTAATGTTCCATCAGATTAAAATTGAATATACTACTGGACCAGATTCTTGCTTCATTTCTTGTATTATAAATCTTTGCTTAAATCAGTTACATTACTGTGAGTTTACATTATATGTAAAAAAGGTCAGTATCTGTCACCTATAAAAACAAAGTCCTCATCCAGCTGACAGAGTAGGAAAAAAAAACAGAAAAGTTTCTAAACTTAGTTACACAACTGTCACAGTTGTACCTTGTTATCTGTTTCCGACAAAACTATCAAGGGAATGCGCACAACTTCAAGATTAGTCATACCTGCCTCATTAGAGGGAGATTTTGTCAAAATCCTGGGCTAATAGTCACAGGCAAAGCTGTAGTCCTACTAGTGGACTGTAAACTTTTAGCTCACAGCTGAATATTGGAATATGACAGAATGTTAAACATTCATTTCCCAGAATTTCTAACATGCCTAATCCATTCTAATAAGCACAGAAAGGACAAACTCTCCGAACAGAAAGAGCTTATTATATGTATCCATGTCTTTTCCAAGCACATTAACATAGTTTCATCAAACATTATTATAAAACAAAGTTGCTTATTTAGAAAGGTAGGACTTTAAATACTTTCTAAAAAGTAAGCAATTATACAGTGGATGAAGAAGAAAAAATCTTGTGCGCTGAAGTGGAAACTTGACCTTACCTGAGGTAAATCCCCTTTATTTTGGGCGTGGATTCAAAAGCATTCTCTGAAACTGTTGTGATCTTGTTGTTCTGAAGATACAGATATTCTAGAGATTCTGGTAGGCCTGATGGGATAGAAGTCAGCTGGTTGCCAGCCATGTCTAGTGACTGCAAGGAAGAGACAACAAGGGGTCAAGTAAATAATTGAATTTAAATATAAGCAGCACTCCAAAAAGAGATCTGACAACAAATGAGCTTCCAAAGGCTGGCTGTATACATCCCACACACACCTTTGAAAGTTTATCCATTATTTTTTATATATATACACACACATACATATAAGTCTACAAAAATACATATATACATATATATACACATGCACTTATAAAAAACTTAGTATGGTAACAGTGCAGAAGCAAGACATTTATGCAAAGCTTATCCAGTATTTGTTGTGTTTGAAAATTATCTGGAAATGGGCTTTATTTTTCAGATGGTGCTTTGCTGAATCTGCTTCAGAACCTCTCCCTTCTGGTGAGGACAGGAAAATGACAAACACTATGTGTACAGTGGAAATTGCAAATTGTCAGCCATGCAGAAAGGTTCCGTTTGAGTTCATGGTGGAAAAACTGAAGTGATATTTATTGTAGCATAAACTAATTTAATCTACCTCTAAATTTCCATCAAGGTAAGTGTGGCCATGACAATTCCGCTCTCTTACATTACTATTTAGCATCATGATTTCACATGAGACATCACGATGTTTTGTTTAAGAGTTCCAATGTCTCTTTATCTCTGTCCCCAGGCTTTAGTCCATGCCTGCTTTAAGTGAATTAAAAGCAGATTGCATTAAAAGCAGATATGCATGAGAATTCCTTGGAAGCTACTACTGCAAACACTTCACTAGCTAAGGTTAGTGACTAGTTCAGAGTTACACATAAAAACATCTGGAAATATTCTAACATGGAGAATGTATGAAGACATCAGGACTAAAGGCCATGTTCATTTCTCAGATGCATTTTATGCAAGAAAACGGATCAATAGAAGTGTTTTGTTATCCTGTATTGTAGCATTTTCATAGCACCAAGCTGACACACGAGTTACACATTATTCAGAGCTACACTTCTGCAGATGATTGTAATGATTTCAGTGTTTTTATTTCCCACATAATCCCAGTCTGGCAAACAATTATGTAAATGTCTAGCTTTGCAATTGCAGACAGTCTTCAGTGATTTCCATGGAAACGTGTGGACTGAAGCGTATGCTAAGTACATGCACGATCAGGATCTGTTGTGATGGTTATTTGTCAAATCCACTCCAGTGCACCAACTCATAAACCAATTGCACAGTTAAGCCCTTAATGATAAAAAAGATTCATATATACTGTCGTGGAAATAACTAACAAGTAGCAGCTAAAAATGAACCATTAGTCTAACAGAATTTTAAGTATGTGCTATTGTCTTAACCTTATTCAGTATGAACAGGGTTTGCTGTGGGGTAGGTACAACTGAAGGGCCAGCTTTTGATTCAGCAACGTGTTACTCTGGCTTCACACTGACTACGAGGGAGTGACAGTGGAATAAAAGTAACGTGAAGTAGCTATGAATCAGGCCTTTTGAGAAGGAAAGCTTGTCATTCCAACCAACAACTACAGCTGTCTAAGAGGTCTCATGACCTATTTTTGTTCGAAAAAATAAACCAACCCAGGTGACAGTGACTACATTTTATTAAGCCACTGCAGTGAAACAATTCCAGCATCTGTAATTCTCAAGAGCATCTTCCTTCCAGACTACTTTTCATCTTAGATATATTTGCATGCACACACACACACATACATGTCAGTGAGGCACTAAACAAATGCAAAATGTATTATTAAAGCCATGGGACCAAATCTGCAGCTGATGCAAACCAACAGCTCTACAGATACTGTTGCTGCATTGCTGATTCAGGTTAACTGACAAACAAGCTATTGCTTATTCCCAGAAACAACAGAAAGGGAAACGTTCACATAGATAAATGTTTGGATTGTCTCAAAACACACTGGGGGCCAGCGTGACATATGCTCCCTGTCCCTTATCCCTGATCTGCTCTGAGATGTACAAACTTTGCCTGTGCAGTGATCTAACCATATGCACCCTAGATGGGGGCCATATGACACAGGTAATACTTTTTACTGCAGGAAACGGGCTGTTGCCTAAAAGGAAATGCAGACAAATCCTTCAGCCAGTGTAACAATTTTGAAAGGTCATTTTGCATAGCACAAATGTGATTGTTCCTGCCTGCCTTATGGTTTGTGTTTAACTTTCTCCAACAATTAAGCAAATGAGAAGACTGCTGATTGAATCCAGACCTCCTAGCTGCTATCCAGGTGCCTTAGCCAGCTGAGCTGCTAAATCCTACAGCTTGGCCTGTCTGACTATAAGCTGATGTGGGGGCTTTGAGAATTAAGAGTGTTTTTGTTTATGCATTCCTTCCTCCTGCTGTCTCTCTTCAGAGCTGATTTTAAATCTTTTGGGAGACAAGCTATTTGAAAGGCATAATTTCAGTTTCAATGACAACATTCACTAATGTTTATCTGAAAATACAGGACATCATTAGGGTTCAGAAACAAAGATGTCTTTACATTTCCCAGAATTAGCAGTACGTGGTGGACCACCACCCTGGTCAGCAGTGGGAGGTACCCACCTCTGGCACAACAGCACAGTATTCCTCCTCTAGAAACACAGGGTGCAGCACTTACAATGCAAGCCGAAAACAGGAGGACCAAGCACATTAAGTATTGGTGCTATACGAATTGGCTTAGGGAGACAGACGAGGACATCAGCATTACTAAAACAATTAGAGAAGGTGATGTTTCTACCTGGAGACTGCTGAGTTCTCTCCACGCTCTTGAATAAATTGAATTTACTTTCAGTTTATTGTTGCTCAAATATAGTTCCCGCAGCTTTGTCATCCCAGACAAAGTCCCTTTTGGGATGATGCTTATCTCGTTCTCCTTCAGCTTCAGAATCTGCAAGTTCTTTGGAAAGCCAAAGGGCACGGTGTGGAGATTGTTTCCAGAAAGATCCAAGGACTTCAGTTGCCTCAGTTTACGGAAGGCTTCCCGATGGATCTGGGGACTTTTGAGCTTATTGTAGCTCAGGTTCAGCTCTTCAAGGAAGTAAGTGGTAGCAAAGTCATTCCTGTTAATCTCAGAGATCTGGTTATGAAGGATCATAAGTGTTTTCACTCGCCGGGGCAGCCCACTGGGAATCCTTTCCAGCATGTTGTTGTATAGGTGGACAGTGTGCAGCTTCTTTAAGCCCTGGAAGGCTAACGGGTGAATACCTCGGGCTTTTAATTTGTTATTGTGGAGCAGAAGGTACTCCAGGTTCTTAATTTGGGTCAAGACATCTCTGCCAATCACCTTAATTGCATTCTTTTCCAGGTGGAGGAGGACGATGTTTCGAGGTAAACCATTTGGGATTTGTGAGAGGTTATTGCTGGACAAATCCAGATATTCAAGACTAGACAATTTCCTTGAGAAAGCAGGAAAGAAAACACTCTCCATTTAGATTCTGCAAGGTGAACTGATAACCAGCTTCCCCTAGGATTTTACAATCTTTGCTTTAGAGTCTTTTTACCCAGCACAGCTCCCACTACTGCCCTGTTTTGTCTCATCATATGACTGATGAGGACAGCAAAAGCAGGGAGCTCCCCTACGGCCATGAGGGATTAGGACTAGGCGCTGCCATTGCTCCCCAGCCACACTAGCAAGAGAATCTGCTAGAGTCCACAGTCATCCCACTGGCCACCAGGCTGAGACCTGAGATCAGTTTTGCAGTCTACTGTTCTCTCATTTGCCACCACAGATAGCAACATAAGAGCAATTTCAGTGAGCAAATACCACAGGAAAGATGCCATGGGAGCACCATTAGAACACAGAATTTAGCTCTCCATTTCACAGAAATGTAGCCTAAGCATGAGTAACTTCTGTCTCTCTAGAAGTGTATATTGATACTGAAAAGCAGGTCTGCTTTTTAGATGGTGAAATATTACTCTCGTGAAAAGCAGAAATGCTAATTCAGTGTCCTAGGCTAAGGTAGTGAACTTCTCCTGACCCTCCAGCATTATGGAAGTGAGTCACGGCTAGAGCTTCTTTGTGTAAGCTACTGAATCTGGATTCCACAGACTCAGTTGAAGCTAAAATAAATCCTCAGACCAGCCACTTATACCAACTGGATGTGGATCAATGGTATTATATGCTAGGACTGAGGAGCCCTGTATTCCCTTGTATTTCAAGTCAGCTTCTCAGTTCAAACAAGTCTTTTAATCTGCATGGCATCTACACTGCAGATGACTAGAAAGTTTTCAGGAAATGCGAGAACTAATGCATTACAGACATTACTTACTGGTTACTACACTGCTATTCACAGCTATCCAAGCATGCTCTGAATAAGCAAATACTCTTTGGGTAAAGCACTTCATTGTTGCAAGTTGTAACGTTTCCTCAGCCTGGGTACATCTCAACAGCAGTATCTTGTGCTGTACAGGCAGTATTATGAGAGCAAGGAGCAATATCCACCCCCTCTGCTTACTGTGACTGGTGCCTGAGCTATAGCCACTGTACTCTATTCATCAAAATCTTAACAGAAATTATACGTCCAACATGACCTGGAGGTGGACACAACACAGCTATGGGAAATTACTAAGTGAGGTTTCTGGGAGTGGGAAGTGGAAAAGGAAAGTCCAGTTTGATACATTTTCATGTCTGGAGATCAGAAAAGTTTACAGAATTAAGTTATGGGCAGGACAGATTATATGACCTGGATTTTCAGATACAACAAGGGCAGCACTCACTGCAAGCAGAGACACAAATGTTTAACTTTCTGAAGTGCTAAGTCCCAGGCTAAATTTAGGAGAGGCAAAGGCTATTTCTGTTGCACCAGTTTGTAGCAGAGCTTTTGCAGCCATCTGGCTACTGAGCAGCACCACTGCATCCCTGCCTACTCCAGCATCATCTGCACTGGGGTACAGCTGTGCCAGATGAACTCACAACTGCGTATCTGTGGCTGCTTTCAAGTCACCTTCACAGAAACACGGAATTGGCTTTAGCAAAGATGAAGGTCTGGCCTTAACTTCCAGCGAACTACCCTTGAAACTGGAAAGTCCCAAGTAACCTCACTTTTGACTGGTTTGGAAGAAGAGAGACCAGCTTTGAACATTGTTCTATATGGCCTTTTCCCAGAAGGCACTTAGTACCTGGTGTGATTGGGTCTGTGGCAATGAGGGAGTGGTGCAGTCTGATGTCCAGTGTTGTGTTTTTTGTATAAAAGTATTCTGCACTGTGAATTCAAACCACTCATGCAGACCTTCGCTTTTGAATGGCAGCATCTGAATGTAAGACTTTTCATATAGACTTAGCAGAGAAATGCATAATCTCATGCAGCTTTTAATAATGTACTTTTTAAGATCTTTGTTCAGTAGATGTACTACTGTACCAGAGGAGGTAGACAGACACAGAGTTACAAACTACAGATCTCAGTCTCACCAAAAAGTTTCATTGTCCATTCCTTCATTAGTCAAGTAGTTATTCTGTAAATACAGCTCCCGCAGACCTGTAAGTTCACTGAAGGCTCCTTTGGGAATCTTCTCTAGCTTGTTGTTCTAGAGTCACCAGAAGCACAAAGCACATTACTTGGCATGAAACAACATAGGACATTCAGGTCCTGCTCAGCTAACACCATTAGTTAATTAACAATTAAACTTCAAAAGGGCTAGACATAAGATATTTCAGGGGGCACTATAATTCTGCTTAAGAAATAAATACAAATACTAGACTGAAATATTACAAACTGTTTTTATTGATTCCCCATGGAATCTTTGGGCTAAAGAGTTAGAATTTGCCCCCTGTCCCTCCAGACAGTTTTATTTTGTATTCATAGTCCTTCCACCTATGTGCAAATGTATAATGTAATCTAGGCAACTACTTCTGGAGTTGGCGCAAAATTTCTGGATTTTCTAAGACAGATTTCACCATAAAGAAGAATTAGGTTGGAAGTTGGGAACCAGCCATCCCTCCAGCATTAATGGCACTCCAAAAGGTACAGTTCCCGCAATGTAGATTCTAAAATAATTACTCCTATTGCCTTAGTGTGGCTTTGGAGTAGCCAGCAGGCAGACACAAACAAAATATAAAACTAAGTTCTGCTTAGAAATTCCATACAGGAACTGTAGGAATTATAAAAAGATATATAAAATACTAGGAGTTATAAAAGGACATATAAAACACTCACACTGAATTTGTTAAACTTCCCACAATCCATGTATATGCAATAATGTGATGGACAGACTGGACTAGATTCATGCGTCAACTAATACAAAGTAGATATCACCACAGACAGATTTGGCTCAGTGTCTCGATGAATAGTGAAAGAAAAAATAAAAAGATCTGTCACATCTAAAGTACACCTTTTGGACACTTTTGGTCTACTATTGGCTCTCTCTCATTTCTCATTGCCCTGTTTTTTTCCCAGTCAAAATATCAAGGTAAATGTTACTACTGACAGGCAATGCACTTGAAAACAAAATGTGCATTTCTCTTTTCAGCTCCTCTGCCCTTAACACAACTGGTGACAGCAGGGAAGGATACGAGTTCAAAGAGTAGTGCTCAAAGTCTGAGACCCGTTTGGGAGATAATGATTACCTATAAATGGCAATAAAATGCAGGGGACTCTTAACTTCACACTTTGCAGAGAAATTCCAGCAATTTAAAGGATCAGACTGTTTGCCTTCACTTTTCTTCAAGCTGAAGAAGCCTGTTTTTTAGAAGACTTTAATGGGAATTAGCAGTGAAACCTTCAAGGGAAAAGAAAGCTGGGAGGCAACACAGAACTGCCTAAGTCCAGGGGCTGATAACAGACTCCAGTTTACACACGTCCAAGGAGCTGTCAACACTAGAAGCAAGCGGAACCAGGACTTCCCACCACTGCAGCTCTCCCATTGTTAACAAGGCTGAGATCTCCAGCACAGACATGATGAAGTGTTTTTATCGAAATCAGATGATACGGAATTAAAAATGCTGGAGACTAGTTAATACCATAACTTCTGCTATTGCACTATTGCTGAAGAAATTGTAGCAATAAAGAATCACTGATCCAAACTTTCTCTGTGTTGTCTGAATTGCCAGTTCAGTAGCAAACAAAAATCACTGATGCTAAGGAACAGCAGTCTATGTGAAACGAGTTAGTGAGCAAAGCCAGTACATAGTGGGTAAGCAGCTGTCAGGAAAAACATCATTGTCAGTGGCAAACTTAACTGGGCAACCAGTCACTGGATGGCCATGGAGAATGATCTACCTCCTTCTACTAATATGTATTAATATCATTATATGCAGGGAAGAGACCAACAATGCTACCACACAGGCATTTGCAATATAATCCCCTGAAAAGACAGAAAAGCGTTTTTGTCCCCTGTGAGCATTTTGGTGTTTTGCAAAAAAACCACTGTTACTTATGAACAAAAAAGTAAGGACATGGGAGACAGCTACTGTTGACATAGCAGACGAGACTTACAATGGGCCTGGGAATGTTTCCAAGTGCGCTGAAATGGCTTGGCTGTGCGGTTTGAATCCCATACAAACACAGTACTTTGTGACAATCATAAAGGAATACAAAACCTTGTTGTCATTACCTTTAAGTGTAACTTATATAGTGCTGGAGGGAGATTCTTTGGAACATACTTCAAGAAATTGCTGGACATGATGAGTATCTCCACATTATCAGAGCCATTGAACATATTATCAGGTAACCCAGCATCTGAAAGTTTGTTGTTATGAAGATACACAGATCTGTTGGAAGGAGAAAAAAGATTAAGTTAAACAGATAGTGATATCTCGTGTTTTTTGTTTACCAAGAGAAAGCTGTTTAAAAATTGTATTTCAATCTTTTCTTCTTTCCTTGAGATAATTAGATTTGTTTTTAAATGTGCCCTTTAATTTAGCAAGGGATATAGATGCAAAAGCATACGGTTGGTCCAAATACTCTTGAAAATTTAGATCTACTCCAAATCAAAACCCACATGTGAATACAAATTTCACAAGCAGCCTTATCTTCTTAACGAGAAACTGAGTGCAAGTCTGGGATTGTGCAGTGCTTTGAAACAAAGAATGTCAGTGTGGTAGCCTCACTTGAGAGGGTTAGAACTCATATCTGATTAATAGATATGCCCCCAATTTTAACTTCAATTTGGAATCAAATCTGGGCTTCTTGGGCTTGCAAAATCAACATTTAGTTCTCTGAAGAAAGGGCCGTCTCTCACCCCTCCATTCTTTCTGCTCCCATGAAAGCTGGAAATACCCCAGGCAACCATTTCTCTCCTACTCCTAGAACTCAGAAAGGCATAGAAAGACAGCAAAACTGACAGAAAGACAGCACTTCACTCTGGAAGAATTTTGGTTTTTAATGAACCTGTGGGATTGAGAGAAAGCTGGTTTCTTATTTTCCCTTTGCCCTTCTTACTTTTAACCTTTAATATTCACAGAAGAGTTTCTCCAATCAGATTTTTAAAAATGGATTCATTCTTTCTTATACAGGTTTTAATTCTGTATAAAACAATGAACGTCTATGAAGTTCTTCCTGCTTTTCATTGGCGTAACTGCTAAATGAATTAATTTAACTTCTTTGTAATAAAAGAAATTATAGGATTTTACTGACTTTGATTACCTCTTCCTTTCCTGTGTTTACCCCAAGATGCAGCAGGCAGCTAAAATCGTAGACAGGTTAAAACTGCAAAGGGGCACAGTCTCAAAGTGTGCTTTTTTAACTTGTTCTTGGATTCTCTACCCGTTGCAGAGAACTTGGCAACATGTTTCTGGGAGGAAGGAAAGGGTCAGTACGGAAACCCAATTGTGCGATCACACACTCCAGGGAGTTCAGAGCAACACTGAAAATGTTCACCCTGCATGGTCAGCTGCACTTTTAACTCACAAATATTTGCCTTTCTGAAAACCTTGCTTTCCAAATAATCAGTCTGAGACCATGAACTCTGCCAGGGGCAAATAAACCAACTGAAACAACTGTGTCAGAATTTTATATCAGCAGTCTTGGAAATCAGTAAGTTACTATTCTGATTAAAATCAGTGTAAGTATAGGAGAGTGTGAAAATCTCTTCAGAAGAGTGCAAGAATTTTAACATGAAACAGATACTCTGCAACTCAGATTAAGGAAGAACATATGCATAAATCTAGCTTCTTTCCTGATGAGATATTGCCAGAAATCAGTGAGTGACTCAGCTTTGCAGCTACCAAGAGCCTACGAGACTAAAGGCCGAGTAAGTACAGAGTAGCTTCAGCTCTCAACAAATTCAGTGGGAATGGAGAGTTTTTCAGTTTATCACAAGACTGGGCTCTAGGAGCTCAACTGGGTCAGCTATTATTAACTGCTTCCAAACTTGGATGCATAAATTGCTGCCAACAGAGTCTGAGATGTCTTTGCAGGATTGAGATGCTGCAGTGTCCGTACAGATTACTCAAAACGCCTTTGGAAAAGACCGTATCTCACAGGATGTGCTCTATGTGCATCTGAATTTGAGATGGGCCGATGTGCTCCACTGGATCCTGCTAAGAAAATCACAACCTGAAACTAGCAGAGAGACCTCTGAAACCACTGAGAGACCTCTGAGACCTCTGAGACCTCTGAACCACTTCTGAAGGTGCTAAAGTGCTTAGCTTTAATATAGTTGAGTTATATACAACTGCACTGAGTACTGTCATCTCAATCTGATTCTATTGTTTTAAATGAATGGACTATAACAAAACTAGGGATTTCTAAACAGTTAATCTCCATTTTGAGAAACCGAAGCTGTTCTTTTCAACTCATAACTGGTACACAAATAAAATGGAGACAATTTAATTTTTATTTATGCAAAAGTGTCTGGCAGCTAGTAAAAGCCTTTGGAATGTGTTTGAGAGATCATTTGAACTTTCATGCTGAGAATAACAAACAGTCAGCTTCTTTCCAAAAAACATAAGTAGGCAGTAACATGGTTTAGCCAGATAGTTTCTTATCACCCACCAACTGCATCCGAGCAGTGGCAGAACACTGTTATTGTTTTATTTCCCGATCCCTTACCTCAAGTTTGGTTTCTGTCCAAATGTTAGCCCATATATCTTAGTGAGATAATTGGCTGCAAAATCTGCACTGATCAAAGTATTTGGTAGGAATTTTGGAGCCACTGTTAGCTGTAAAAGAAATATACAAGGAAATTCCAATTAAATGCAATAAATGTTTTAACCAAGTATTAGACCAGCAACAAAACACTTGCAAATTTATTTTCTCTGAACAGGCAAAAATAAATTAAACTGAATGCAGATTGCATGAATGAAAACAAATTGTCCTCACTCACTAATCTCTCCAGGAAGGAGACAGACTTTTGCTCCAAGATATGTGAATGTTTGTTTTGGTTGGAAGAGTCCTGTCTCTTTTTGATGAAGATATCAAAAAATTGTTATTCAGAGAGCGAACACTTTGCTTATTATTGTTCCTAATTCCTCAGTCTGCTGTGCCAAAAAAATCCAACCCACCTCATAGTGGCCTACTACTTACTCTCTTACGAAAGTATATTGCAGGGGGGAAGCATCACTTCATATGTCTGTTCCAATATTGCATCCGTTTACAATGACCTTTTCAACGGAGGATTCAGGTTCCCAAAGGACAGGGATGCTTCTGAGCCAAATGATGGAATATCAAATGGGACTTCAAAGCAAAGACCTACTGTACAGTGATAGTTTATTCATTAAACAAGTGATGTATCAGAAACTAAATACAGAAAGGTCCTGTCTCCAAAGCTTTATACCTGATTGGAGGTATAGGATTTTATGTGTTTTCTCTTGGTCTATTGCTATTTTTATCAGTGATTTTAAAAATTAATGCTAGGAACTTCTGCATCTGAACAAAATTTGGTGGAGTGAAAACTAATGATCAAAAAAGCTCAGTTTTACAGAGCATCCAGATAATACAATAGCTACGTTCACCGAGTGGCTGCTAACAGCAAAGTCATTCACCTAGAAATCAAGGATACAGGTTACCATACAGGCTGGACCACAGTTTTCTGGAAAGCATAAACCCAGAATATTTATGCATCAAGATTAAGCCCTTGGAAAACAAATTATTAACACAACGCTGTAGTTGATATGATCCTTGAGTGCATAAGCAGAAGACTACTGAATTGCAGTAGGCAGGTACAATCACTGAGGTTACAGACGTTACCTATAGTACTGATGAGACCGCTCTTACAATATTTTATGTACACGCTGAAGCGCTCTAGAGAGAATATCTTTTCTAGGGAGATACTGAATTCTTTGCCATCTAACGCTTTGACATCAGGATGGGAAACTCTGGGCAATGGAAGAGATCTGCCTTCTAGCTTGAAATTCTTTCAATCTGTAAAGCTTCTTCCTCACAGCACTGTTGTGTGAAACAGAGCTTAGTCCTTACAGCCAGCAAGGCACAGCAAGACTCACATGATGAGAAAACATATTTTTCAAATTTTTATTACCATAAAACTGCAATTGGTTATTAATAATAGTGTAAAACCAAAAATATTTAAAAGATGAACAATGTGTGAGAGAATAGACACTTTACTGGAGAACTACCTAACCCAAGCCTTAAACTATGTACAGGGTGCTGAGATCTCTCTCCAGTAGTTTGTCAAGTGTGCACTGATGGACGATAGCCATGAACTTGCAATTTACTGGACTCATAATACAGTCCTGTTTTTGAAAAGATGAAAGTACGTTATTTACTGGTTTTCGTTTTCACCTCTGCCAAAACCTCCAGCCTAAAGTTGTCTTAAATGTTTAATGGTCACAAACACAAAAAAGATCTTTCCCACAAATCACACTCCTATTAGTATTTCCAGATAGTACATAAGCAGTGGGAACAGGCATTCTACGTAGTACTACAGTTGCCACAGTACTGCTCCTGGCTTTACCAGTAATCTCTCACCTCCTGATCCAGGAGATACGATTTCAGTGAAGTGGATAAAGGCACTCATCTCTGACCAGGAAGGTCTGACAGTGCCTCAGAAAGAAATAAGTCTCTACCGTGACATAATATTAAGAATTCAGACACAGGAAACAGACTTCATCACTTTCATACATGGTGGCACATTAAAGCTTTTCTCCAGAAACATGGTCTATTAGGTCATAACTTTTATACAAAACAAAGGGCATGGCTCAGATATGTGAAATGAGAGACATCAGAACCACAAGAAAGAGGAAAGAGAAAGAGAAGTTTCATCCAAAAAGAGCTGTCATTTGGTCAGGACTTTGCTTTGGTGTTTCAGCACTTTGTCATGAGACTAATTGATCTTCACTGGTTGACTGTTTGAAGGATTAATGCTGGATTGTTGTAACTGTTAGCAAAAATAAAGTTGACTGAGTAGCTTTGTCTAGTATATTGCCTAATAAGTAGCAATCTGCATTTCTCCAGCTGCAATTTTCTTGCAGCTTTACTGCTGGATCTTCCTTTCTATATGGCAGATAGTGTTTCTCCACTGTTAACTAATGAGCTAACCAATGAACTCAGAAGGATTATACAAAAGTTATTACCAGTTTTGGAAGAAGTTTTCTTGCTTATAATAAGCTTTGACATAAACAGAAGTACAAGATCCAGGTGAATCCTGTATCACGTTGGGGATACAGGGAAATGTAAAACCTCCTGTCACCAAAATCACCAGCTTATAATAATGACAGCTCGGTACCTGGTCTACAGTTTGGTGGAAGAGATTTCTGTTATAACAAGGCTTACTGTGGATACTATGCAACAGATACAAATTATGAGAGTGGGGTGAAAATTAAAAAGGAAACTTACTTGGAGTACTTGTTACTCATAAGCCACAGAAAGCTTTTAGTCTATTATGATATTTCTTTTCTCTGACCAACTATGCTAGTTTAACGAAAGATAATTTAGCTACATCTGATGGGATCACAATTGAAAATAAAGCAACATTAAGATAATCCATAAAACAAGGATCAAACTACCAGCAAATCCCTGCTCTCCTCCAGACACCAGTTACTTGATCTGCAGTGTTTCCTGCTGCAGAGTGGATGCAGTTGGAAGCCAATCTGATTTGTCCTGGCTTGTGATTTATAAAGAAATGTGTTATTTTTGTGGGTCCACAACTTCTCACTATAACTCGTTCTGACATTCGCTGATGTTTGCATTTTCTTTTGGGATCCTTTTCTCTCTGCAGCAAAGCCAGAAAAACCAAACACTTTGTTTTGTCACACAGGGAAAATTGGAGTGCAAAGTTCTGGAATATTAGTCACAGTCTGGCTTGTTCCTTTTTATGGAGTTATTAACTGCCAAGATTGTTATATGGAAATGGTGCTTGAAAGGGAGAAAAGAACACAATGTTACTGTACTAAGGAATGGGTTCTATTCTCATTCACTCCATACAGAGGTCTATGGAGTGATTCCGGATATGTCTTGGCCTGACTGAAACCTGAATGTGCCCACATGTATATAAACAAAACATTAAAATGTCACAGATTTTAACAGGATAATAAAATATATATACAGACATGCGTATAA